TGGGAACTTGGGGATTTGGGAATTTGGAAATTTGGGAATTTGGGGATTTGGAAATTTGGGAATTTGGGGATTTGGGGATTTGGGGATTTGGGGATTTGGGGATTTGGGAATTTGGGAATTTGGGAATTTGGGATTTTGGGATTTTGGGAATTTGGGGATTTGAGGATTTGATGATTTGGGGATTTTGAGATTTTGGGATTTTGGGAATTTAAAGATGGTTTACAAAATCTTAAATAGTGCGTTACAATCTACAGGAAATACTTATGTGATATATCTGAACATAACAAAAATCATAATGTGTTCCGTGGGGCTATAAATATATAGTTTTAACATGAAATACAGTCCACTCATGTTTTTTATTTATTTAATCTCTGTAATTGTTGTCTTGTTCGTCGTATGTAGAAAGATTTGGGGATTTGGGGATTTGATGATTTGGGGATTTGGGGATTTGATGATTTGGGGATTTTGAAATTTAGGGATATAGGAATTTGGAGATTTGGAAACTTTCCACTTGGAATTTGGGAATCCAGAAATTCGAGAATTGGATATGGAAAATTTGGGGATTTCGAAATTTGGAAATTGAGAAATTTGATAACTTGATAATTTGATAATTTAGAATTTGAAGCTTTGAAGATATGGGAATTTAGAAATTTGTAAATTTGGAATTTCGGAATTTAGGATTTTCGTAATTTGTGAATTTGGTATTTTTAGAAATATAAGGGTTCGGAGATTTAGAAATTGGAAATTTGGAAATCCCCAAATTTGGAAATTCGGTAATTTGAAAATTTGAAACTTTGAAATTTGAATCTTACGGATTTCGGAATGTGGAAATTTGAATTTGAAATTTGATGATTTACGAATTGCTGACTTAAAAAGAACTAAAAATTTGAAAATTTCAGGCGCATTACAAATCTTAAGTTAAATAAAAATTTAATACCTTCAGAAAAACTTTGCAATTCATATTATAATATATTACTTACCTGAAACACAGAACGTGAAAATTATAAATCAAAATGAACGTCTCTTTCCCATACTCTTAACATAAATTCACTAACGACACCAATATCTGCATAAAATATTCCCTCCGTCTTACGTCTCTCCGTTACGTAAACATTTCTTTCTATTAACCATTAAATTACTTATGCCATTGGTATTGAAAAACACGTAGATACTTTAGAGTTAATGCTCAAGGGCTGTCAGGGCATCGTTTTACTTCCGAACCCGTCGTCGTTCTCGCATCGGTACCAGTTTATTTCCCAAAGATGTATGTAGATAAATGCAACTAGCTGGCATATACGGTTCGCATTGATTCCTTTCCGGCGGATTTCGTATTCGTCGCTGGTACTTCCGTGACTTCTGACGAATAGCTCGAAGGAACACGTGAAAAGGTGGAAAACTGTCTGGATACGTTACGTGGCGGGGCTGGAATTTTCTTTGAAGAAAATTCCATGCATTGTCTTTGAGCGTGGCATGGAACCTGCGACGCTTAATCGAATACTTTCTCTTTCGGCATTGTTGCTCAAGTTACGTCTCGTCGAATGAAATTCTCTTCGGGTCGTTAATTAAATTTTGACCTTTCTTTAGAAAAGTAGAAATCAATGAATAGTCAGGCGGTGTGCCTTTCATTAGCGCACTTCCTTTTCCTAAAGGAAGTTTTTCCAGGCCCTAATGTCACGCCTAAGCAACTTTTGTATCAACGTGAGTTTTTTCCCGGAGGGATTTCTAACTGTAGCGTGAAATAAAATAGACCGCGAAATACTATAGAATATTTTATTTATAGGCAACTGACAGGGTAACGTTTACGATACGCACCCGGGACAGGAGAGTTTGAAGTTTTATCCTGTTTAGCCATTTAAAGAAAGGATCATATATATGCGGTTCAAGGGATGTTCTATTATTTTACGTATTCTTATTCTATCTTCTATCTTCCACGTGTTGTTATTTGCTAAAATATAACGGTTTTCTTAACGAAAGAATATATCATACTATATATATACAGGGTGCCTCACAACTCGTGTAACTCCCGGAAAAGAGTGGTAGAGGACGTAATTCTGAATAAGATTTTCCTTTACGAAAATGAGATGTGGCGCTTCGTTTTTGAATTATTAAGCAAAAACACGCACCAATCAGAGCGCGAGGATTCCGTCCAGTCGGCCATTATGCTCGAAGGCGTCGCTCTCGCGACTGCGCGCCGTGATTGGCGCCGAATCCTCGCGCTCCGATTGGTCCGTGTTTTTCTTTAATAACTCAAAAACGAAGCTTCACACCCCATTTTTGCAAAGGGAAATCTTGCTTAGAATTACGTCCTCTATCACCCCTTTCCAGGAGCTACACGAGTTGTGAGACACCCTGTACCTATTAGTTTGGAAATCGTAGACATAACTACGCATGC